CATGAGGAGCCCTCCCAGTTCGGAGGAAGGGAAATAGACCACTAGGGGCGATCGGAGTGCGAATGGTTCCGTATTGACAGAGCCTTGGAAAACGCTCACATCCAGTGCCGTATTGTGTCAAGACGAACACTGAGGTGAAGATGAATCTGGAGAAGCTGGCCAAGCTCTGAGAGCATGCCACGCAGCGCCTTGGCCGACTCGGCCAGCCAAAGGTGGGACGCCCGCGAAGGCCGCAGGAGGGGGTTGCTGTTGGTTTGAATTGATTTGTCAGAATCAAACCAAACAAAACACATGAGCCACTGAGCCACATAGCTGGTTTTTGCTTAGGGGTCAATCCCTTCCCCAGAAGGGATATGTGTAGATTTTTCCCCAGATAGCAAAGCTATGGGGTTCTTACTTCAAAAAACAATGAGTTGCCCGCGCGCGCCTTCGAGACAGGTTGCTGGTGCTGGGCGCCGGTGCTGGTGCTGGTGCTGTGAGCTGGCTGTGAAAGAGAGAGAGAGAGAGAGAAGGAAAATGGACTGAGACACACAGAGAGAGAGAGAGAGAGAGAGAGAGCGATATATCGCGCGTCGGCAAAAAGTTAAAAATATACAAACCGACCCCTTTTGGGGGTGATTGTTGTGTTCCTCTTCGAACTGCGCCCATCGAGACCATTTCCTCCTCACGCCAAAGGGCTCGCAACTTGGCTGACTTTGAAGATGATCGCAGACTTTGGTCACATACCCTCGAAAGCAGAAGCAAAGCGGTACATCTGGGAGAATGACATTGTCCTGTCAGCTGAGAAGTGGAGCCAACTGCTGTCTTCGTTCAACAAGGTTTGTCAATCTCTCCAATCTCTCGAGCAGTGGCAAGAACGCAAAGAACACGCTGCTGCGCCACCATAGACGGGAGCTGCGAGCTTTGCAGCCGAGCCCGAAGCAGCTTTATAGAGATGGCGCTGGTGATTCGCCCGTTTTGAGCTGGCTGTGCACGCGGTGGAGACAGGTTGCTGGTACTGGTGCCGGGCGCCGGTGCCGTGCTGGTGCTGGTGCTGTGAGCTGGCTGCGCACGCGGTGGAGACAGGTTGCTGGCGCTGGTGCTGGGTGCCGGTGCTGGCGCTGGTGCTGTGAGCTGGTTGTGCGCGTGGTGGAGACAGGTTGCTGGTGCCGGTGCTGGTGCTGGGTGCCGGGTGCCGGCGCTGGTGCTGTGAGCTGGCTGTGCGCGTGGTGGAGACAGGTTGCGTGCCGGGTGCCGGGTGCCGGGTGCCGGTGTTGGTGCTGGTGCTGTGAGCTGGCTGCGCACGTGCCGGCGCTGGCGCTGTTTCTGTGAGCCAGTGTGCGCGTGGCTGTGAGCTGGCTGTGCACGTGGTGGAGACAGGTTGCTGGTGCTGGTGCCGGGTGCCGGCGCTGGTGCCGGGTGCCGGGTGCAGGTGCTGATTGCCGGGTGCTGGTGCTGGGTGTGCTGGGTACACCGGCGCTGGGTGCTGATGCTGGGCGCCGTGAGCTGGCATGCCGGTGCTTGGTGCTGGTGCCCGCTTCTGACAGTGAAGTTATAAAAAGCGCCGGTTCTGACAGTGAAGGGTAACAAACCGCCGCTTGCAGCAGTGAAGGGCGACCGAGCACCGCTTCTGCAATGAAGTGCCAGCAGTCATGGGCCGCACGAACTTATGCGCGCAACATCATACGGTGTTGTCGCTTGAGCGTTCTTTGTCTATTAGCGCTGTGAGGTATTTACACTCTTCAGGTTCTGTTTTGGCCGACAGCTGTGTCAAGGGCTGTACTGTTTGCGCGCATACTTTTGTACGTACAATGTTCTATGCGCAACGTCAGGCTCTCAACCGACCATTGTTTCAGCATGTTTCAGCATGCTACATTGTTGCACACACACACAATAGTCGTGCTGGATACTGCTTGGCCTCGGGCGAGTGAAGCCTACGGGCTTTGCCGCTCGTGGGCGTACTTTTGTGCGCATAAACTTGTACGCGCAAGATCATACGGCCTTATCATTCTGCAGATCGTTGCTTCAAGCATGCTACAAAGTCAACCGTGGCGCTGGATACTGCTTGGCCTTGGGCCAATGGCACTTATGGGCTTTGCTGTTAGCGCGCATACTTTTGCGCGCGTAAACTTATACGTGCAAGATCATACGTTGTTATTCTCCAAATAGGGATAGCTATGGGGCTTCTTGCTGCAAATAAGAATGAGCTGGCTGCGCGCGGTGCTGGTGCTGTGGTCCTGGGTGCTGGTGCTGTGAGCTGGCTGAGCGCGCGGACGGGCGGCGGCGCTGGTCGGGTGCTGGCGCCGCTGCCGGTGTTGTTAGCCGGCAAAGCGCACCGGTGCTGGTGTCAGCTGATAGCGCGCGCTGTGGAGGTCCGTAAGCGGGCTGTGCAGGCTGCGTACACTCTTGTTCCAGCCGGTCGCATGTCAACAGGTCGTGGGATTCTGCCTAGCTATCTGGGTCTATGCTGGTGTCATTTTTTGTATGATGTAGTTCGCCGTCGTAAGGAAGCAGTCGGAAGCTATAACCGAGAAAGCGCTCCATGGGACCGGCGTATTTGGCTACATTGAGCCCGCCCCTGATCGGCGTGCCGGGCTGGCGTGCCTCCCAAACAGTCCAAACATCGTCGTGTTTGGGTCATGTAGATGAGCCCACCTCTGTCAAGGTGCGCCCATCTCCATCAAGGGTGTTTGCCAGACACGGATCCAACGTTGCGGGGCATGGGGTTGATTTCTTCTATTCGCTGCAGACTTCTCTGAGGCGCGGGCGGCGTTCTGCTGGAGGAGCTCACTGCAATGCAGCAGCGCCTTTTGAAGGTCGATCGTCTTAGACTACTGACCGCTGGACTCGAGGTATACTATTAGGGACGGGGATGATTCGTTCGCAGGGAAGCAAAGCAAATCTTGAGTTTAAGACTTGTCATCTCTTGACGGTAGGTTACACTGGTGATTTTTTGTCATCTTTAACGGATTGAGGAGATTGTGGGGCTTCAAGTGGCTCCCTCATATCCCCTCGCTGTCAAGGAGTCGCCAGCTTCTCCTATCTTGTCCAATTGAGCTGCCGTTTTGGCCAGAGATGAATGTGGACATGACCAACATTGGCCACTGGCTGACATGTCATGCTTTGCCGGACAAACATATGGAAACCGTGTTCACCAGATAGCGAAGCTATGGGGCTCTTACTTCAAATGAGGTGCCTGCGCGCGCTTTCGAGACAGGTTGCCGGTGCTGGTGCTGTGCGCTGGCTGTGCGCGCGGTGGAGACAGGGTGCTGGTGCTGGTGTTGGGCGCTGGCTGCGCGCGTGGTGGAGAGAGGGCGCCGGATGCCGGCGCCGGGGGAGCTTGCTGGTGCCGGTGCTGGGTGCCAGCAGTCACGGGCCGCATGAACTTATGCACGCAACATCATACGGTGTCGTCGCCTGAGCGTTCTTTGTCTAGTAGCGCCGTGGGGTATTTACACTCTTCAGGTTCTGTTTTGGCCGACAGCTGTGTCAAGGGCTGTACTGTTTGCGCGCATACTTGTGTACGTATAATGTTCTATGCGCAGCGTCAGGCTCTCAACCGACCATTCTTTCAGCATGTTTCAGCGTGCTACACACAATATAGTCGTGCTGGATACTGCTTGGCCTTGGGCGAGTGAAGCCTACGGGCTTTGCCGTGTGTGCGCATACTTTTGCGCGCGTAAACTTATACGCGCAAGATCATACAGCCTTAACTTAGCGTTCTGCAGATCGTTGCTTCAAGCATGCCACAAAATCAATAGTAGCGCTGGATACTGCTTGGCCTTGGGCCAATCAATGACACTTACGGGTTTTGCTGCTTGCGCGCATACTTTTGCGCGCGTAAACTTGTACGCGCAAGATCATACGTTGTTGTTCCCCAAATAGGGATAGCTATGGAGTTCTTTCTGCAAATAGAACCTAAATCGAAAATAAGCTGGCTGCGCGCGCTTTCGAAAGGGCGTCGGTGTTGGTGCTGGTGTTGTGGTCCTGGGTGCTGGCGCTGTGAGCTGGCTGAGCTGACAAGTTGTCAGCTGGCAAAGCGCACGGTGCTGGTGTCAGCTGATTGTGCGCGCTGTGGAAGTGCGGTAAGCTGGGTGTGCAGGCTGCGTACATTCTTGTTCCATCCAGTCGCGTGTCAACAGGTCGTGGGATTCTGCCTAGCTATCTGGGTCTATGCCGGTGCAATTTTGAGAGACCAACCAACACAAGTGACTTTTAACTATTAGATATGGCTTTGGATCAAAACGCAGAGACCTAAACCCTGGTAGTTTTGTCAAGTCTTCCCGAAGGGCAGCATCTCGGAGAGCGGGATTCCGCTCTCGGCTCTGTCCATGTGGGCGTCAGAGGATGAGGTGCTGTTCAAGCCCCCATCCTTGCTCACGCTGCTGTGGACAGCAGAAGAAGCGAGCTACACCCCGGAGTGTGCCGCTTCTGCCCCATAAAGGGCCATTTGTGGCTGATCCAAACAGCGCTCAGACCGAGAGTAAATGATATGGGAGCGGATGAATGAACTTGCGGTGGGTATACAACTTGGAAGGGAAGACACAGCAAGGCATTCATGCTTGCTGGCAGGGACTTATGTTGTGATGTACAATGATTTGGGAGACCTATCTTTCTGGCCGGGCCTTTGTTGTTTATTCTTCGACAAACGCTAGCAGGGCATTCATGCTCACTGGCAGGGACTGATGTTATGTTGAGGGACTTCTTGTTGCGTCCGGTTTTGTGTGGGCGAGGTTGGTCGGTCGCAGAACTGTTTTCGCAGCAGAGCACCCTTTTTCGAATAGCCTAGAAAAGGCGCGCCGCTGACACGCCGTCTGTCCGCTTTTGATTTATTGTATATACACATGTTTTTATTGCTACTAGTAGCCATGCCCTTGTTACTGGTAGCTTCTTGCTACTAGTAGTAATGCCCTGGCTACTAGTAGAATATGAATATATATATATATATATATACATATTATACATATAATTTTTATGAATATAACTCCAGAGATGGTCACCTCTTCAGCCTCAATCTGGAGGAACTTTCAAGACTGGGCAGATCAGGAGCCTTGGCCGATGAACGGTGCGTGCCTGCCTAGCGCTTCGGCCGATCGCCCGCCCGCTCGTGTTTGTGAGGAGAGGGGTCGGAGAGAAGTCTTGCGCTGCAAAGCGAAAGTGTTGGAGGCACGTCTCGCGTGGCTGGCCGCAGAATTGGACACGTCTCATTGCTGGACGTGGATTCGGTCGCACCCTCGCACAGATTTCACACCGAAAAGCACAGGTCTTCAACGGCTTCATGCAGAATGGCATCGTCGGCAGGACCGACACCCTGTGCTTCACCCCCCCCCTGAACGACCGTCTGCCCCTTCGGAGCCGCGGGGACGGACCGGTCCGCCGGGTCGTCACGGTGGGTCGGCGTCGCCGACCGGTGGGGTCGAGGAACAGCTTGCCGTCCATCGTGGAAGCCGTGGACGATCTCTTCTTTCTGCAGGGCGCCCTCAAGGCGCGCGGACGGGTTTGGCGTGGACACGGGGGGGCGGGGTTAGGGGGGCGGCTTTGGTGCCACGCGGAAGGTTCGGTGGTTATTTTTTGGGGGGGAAGAAAGAGTACGAGTTGTTTCACTGGCTGAAGTGTGTATTGAAGAAGGAAGATAGACCAGTCCACCCTTTGGTCCAGTATTGAAACACACACACACGCGCGTCTGAAGTGTTGTTTGTGATTCGGCATGAATTCGGGACCCTTTCAGGGCAGTTTTTTTTCTCGGTCAAGTGTTGGCGATCGTCCGTCCAGGACAGCAAGTCCGTGCAAGAGCACGTTCTCGAGGTCCTCGGACATGTGTTGAAACGTGTCGAAACGATTCAATATAGGCTTTTCCATTATTTGATGCCAATACCATGGAGCAAGGACGCTACTAGGGGCGCCTGGCCTTACTACTAGGAGCAAGGACGCTACCATACAGGGGCTCCTGGCCATAGTACTCAGAGCAGGGACGCTACTGGGGGCTCCTGGCGATACTACTCGGAGCAGGGACGCTACTGGGGGCTCCTGGCGTTACTACTCGGAGCAGGGAAGGTACTGGGGGCTCCTGCCCTTACTACTCGGAGCAGGGACGCTACTGGGGGCTCCTGGCCTTATTACTAGGAGCAAGGATGCTACTGGGGGCTCCTGCCCTTACTGCTCGGAGCAGGGATGCTACTAGGGGCTCCTGGTCTCACTGCTAGGAGCAAGGACGCTACTGGGGGCTCCTGGCCTTACTACTAGTGGCATTCCTACTACTGGGAACAAGGACGCTATGCAAGAGAGGGTTAGCTCGGAGCTCTCAGGTCCTGCAGAGCTCTCATCAGGTCCGAACGGAAACCGCCGTCGCACGTGATGTGAAACTCAGGGTGGCTGGAAAGGCACTCGGAGCTCATGTTTGGGAGGCCGTGAGTCGGATACGATGAAGCAGACTTCTTTTTAGTAAAATGACAGCCAAGAAGCATTGAAGGTGGACGCATGATGACGCATGTGGAGTCTTGCGCTTGCTGGCTTTGTGTGCAGGTGTTGCAATCACCTTCGAACAGTTCTGGTTCAAGCTCGCGAATGCTGTAGGAGCCTCGGATCTTCACGGATCTTCATGATTTTGATTGATGCAACCCTAGGGCTCCAACCATATCCTCAGAAGGTGGTTAGACCCCCCAAACCCACCATAAACCATCTTCTCAGGAGGTAGTTGGAGTTCCCTAGAGCAAACACTTCTGAAACCGGAGGAGGCAAACGACTTGAGATGACGAACCGTCTCGTCCCAGGTGGTGGTGCATGAGGGCATTCTGCTGTCCAAGATCCAAGAAGGCCATAAGACTAATGTTATCTTTTTTTTTCCCACTCCTTTCCAGTTTCCAGAAGGTCCCGTCTCACGTCTTCCAGTCCATTTTCCTGTCACCTCTTCCTCATCTCGAGTGTTTCAACGTCTCAGGAAGACGTTTGCGAAAGCTACGAGAGGAGGAACACGCTCGTGCCATGGAGGTGGCGGCCCGCGGCGAAGCCGCCGCGCGCGGAGCGCGTGCGGCACTGAGGCGGCCAGAATAGAGGAGGAGCAAAGGCAGAAGGAAGCCCAAGAGAATCAAAGGTCGGCTATGGCCTGCGCGGGGGTCGCTGTGATGATTCTTTAGGGATTCAGAGATGGTGTGGTGAGCTTGATTCTTGGATCAAGTTCTTGTCCTTTTGTCATAGGCTCCTTCCTATTCTGAAATCTGCTGGGCTTGAGAGATCACGTGCACAGGGGACTCACAAAGAAATGACCGGCCACCGACCTGAAGATCTTCAGCTGGGATTCAAGGGAACCAACCCTTTGGACATGGCATTTTTTGTCAGGCTGATGAACATCTTCAAAGAGCTGCACAGCAGGTTGTGTGAAGACCAGGTGGGCAACATGTACCAGCAAAGGTGGATAGGGGAAGGACAATACATTGTCAGGGCCTTTCCATGGTGCTGGTATATACATATGTTATTACTTGTTATTATATATATATATATTTACTTTATAATATATATATAATATTGTAATATACTATACTCATACTATATTATATCATATTATAATGAAATACATATCATATATTCTATACTATATTATGTTATGTTATATATTGTATTGTATATAATATATAAGAATAACAACATTACTATACTGTATTGTTTTCTATTTTACTAGATATATACATTATATTATACTATCTTACATTGCATCTGTACACAGTTACACATATCATTTGTTGTATATATTATACTATATACATTTGTGATGTTTTTCATTTTTTCAGAGTCGAGCTAGTGCGGGCGTGAGTCTGTAGCGGCTTCTTCAGCGAGGCGCTGAAGAGCATCCTGGAGGGCAAGAGCCTCACGGGTGAGTACTTGAAGCCCAGTGATCCGGAATACGAGTCTCAGGCTGGATGGATTTCCGAAGGTGTTCGAGGTGTTTGATCAATTGAAACATGTTATGAAGTTTCAGGGCTGCTGTGAACCTGAAAAAAGACCCCACCGAGAAAGGGCACATCACGCAGCCGAACCAAGGCACTGCCTTTTTCTGGCCTGTTTAAAGGGATATGCAGCTATGCATTGGCAGCAATGGTCACCAGAGCCCAATGGGGTCCAATGAGTTTGTTCATGAATTGGTGGTAGGCACCCCCAGTTGGGAGGCAGGCCCATGCGCTCGCTTTCGGTTTAAACATGAAAACCAATCCCCGCACCGACAGTGATCTCTCATCAAAAAGGCCACTGCTCTGTTGCAACCTAATAGATTTGCTTAGACCAGATGTTTCCCTTTATTTCCTTTGTTTTCCTCCCTTTTCCTTCCGTTCTTTCTGAACAAACATTTGTTTGTTCCCTTTTGTTTTCCCCTTTTTTCAGACCCGATGTTCAGATCCCTTGATCCGCCTCCTGCGCTGAGAGAGAGCCTAAACGCCTGGGCTCACGGTGAAGCACCGCCGAAGCTCGCTCTCGACGCTCGTCGAGAGCGCTGAACCGTGCGCTCTCGACCCGTTCCAGGTGCGACCGCATGGATCTCACGTTCTCTTGCTGGAGGAGTTGATGACACTACTGGGTCTTCAGGAGTGGAATGGTGTTTTGTATGGCCATCGCGGGGTAGGTTTTGAGGCTGCCATGAGGTTTGAGGCCATCGCTAGTAGAACCAGAGAAAAAGGACAAAGTGTCTTTTTTTTTACGTTGTATTTTTTCCTCACCCTCTCGAGTGGCTTCTGGAACCAAAGGTCTGGCAGATGCCCAAAAGAGAGCTGAGAGATCTGAAAAGCGGTCAGATCTAAGCTCGCTTCAGATTTTGAAGATGTTCCACATGGAAAACCCCTCTGTCAGTTTCATTTCTTTCAGCTTTTGACATTTGGGTGTGTATTTTTGATAATAGGGAGACCCTGGCCATTCTCCAAGAGAGCTTCTAAGCTATGTGCCATGTGTCAGCAGATGGGCTCCCAACTGCCTCAGCAGAATGCTGCCGTCGGTCTGTTCTTTTCTTTCGCTTCTTTTTTTGCCAGGTTCAAGATTTCAGGAAGCTTCGGGAAATAGACCAGTCTACCCATTGGTTGGAGGTGTCCCTCTTTTAAAAACACACCCAAGTGTCAAAAGCTCAAAGAAACCCTTTCTCCTCCTCTCCAACCCATGGTCCACACCCCTCCTGACCTGGCTCTCACACCCAGACGAAGTGCGAGCACGGCACGGAAGGCTTCGAGGCGGCGGGTCTTCGGGGCCAGACCTCCGGGCTGAAGGGAGGGGGGCATGGCTTTTTCGTAGTAGCGTCCTTGTTACTAGTAGCAAGGCCAGGAGCCCCGTTCGTAGCGTCCTTGCTCCGTTCGGTTCGCGATGCCTTAAGGGTCCTAGGGAGGGGGGCAGGTCTTAGGGACCAGTCACTGGTTTGCAGGACCCATGCCCTAAGGGTCCTAGCTTCTTCAAGTGGCTTTTGGGCTGCACTGCTATGGAATTGCGCAGCTGCGTCAAGAATTGGTTGGAATCTTCAACAATGTTGGGTGGGTCTTTTCAAGGAGAAGGGGGGAGGGCTTGTTCTTTGCAAAGGACTGTTAGGATGATGTTTCATGTTCTTTTTGTTTCTGATTCCGCGTCTTGGTGGTCGGATAGGATACTTCTTTGTATATATATATATATATTTGTAAAGATCCTTTCACACAATGACGATTGCAAAGAAGGGCCTGTGGATAAGATCCTTTCTTTCCAACCATCCTCTACCAGTCGGGGTGCTTTTTTGGGACATCCCCTAACCCCAAAGAGAAGAGCTATTCATGGGACATCCCGGTTCATGTGGGGCCAACGGTGTTTGCATCTTGAGCAAGTATCCACTGGGAAACCTCCCCATCAACCTTAAGCGACGCGCGACGCGCGACGCTTCGCGACGAGCACGGAGCACGACCTGCGACGAGGCACAGGAGCTGGAAGCACGCCTCTTCCGCCGGAAGCCTCAGACCACGAGGGAGTTGAGTTGAGGCGTTTCGATTCGTTCTTCGGACCCAAGTTCTTGGGTCGTCGTCCTCCCTTTTTTCGGGAAACATTTGCGTCTCAACAGGAGGGAGGGACCTCCCAAGTCGACTCTCTTTGGGGCATTTTTGGGGTTCATTCTTTCACTCTGCTTGAGGTATGGGTCTTTCGGCGGGTTTCAGAGGCCATCTCATTTTGAGAAGCACTCTGGAGAATGATGGAACGCCCGTGTGAAAGTGCATGATGAAGACGAGCAGTAAGGAGAGATCATGTTCTTGGGGTCCTTAAGTCATCCGTCATCCTTTTTTTTCATCTTTACAAACAAACCACACCATTAACAAACATATCAGAAAAACAAACAGATTCAAAAAAAACAAACAGATTCAAATGGTAAATCAGGTAAAAACAGGTTTACAAACAAACAGATTCAAATCCGAAGAAAACCTGATTTCTATCTTGACTCTTCAGCACCGTCCGGCGTTGGCCGGTTGCCCGGTCTTGACTCAGCACCGTCCGGCCGCCCCGTGTGGTCTGGGCGTGCCTTCGACCGACCTTCTTCTTCCCGGTCTCGGTCCGGGACCTCGCCAGGTCAAAAGGTCCAGAAGCAAATGGAGGAGGAAGAGGAGAAAGAAGCCGAAAAGGAGAAAGAAAAGAGGCCCAACTACTTCTGTTGGATCCCCACCAAACATCTGTTGGATCGGCTTTTGGTTCTTTGGGATCTCTGATGCCACACGGCGCCGATCCAAACGCGCCGCGAGGCAGAGGGCTTCGAAGAGGTGCCGGGCGCGGCGAACAGACCCGCGTCGGGTCGGTGTTCGGGTCGGGAGCGAGCGAGGGGTAGGGGCGCGGCAGCCTGTGTTTGGCTGAGGCTTGAACGAGGGAGATCCAAGGAAATGAATGAAGAGAAACGGGAGTCAATGAAGAGAGGCTCCAAAGAGGATCATGCAGCCCTGCAGCAGCCCAGAAGCGATGAAAGCCCTCCTCCCAAGCGAGGGTCCAAAAAGGAGACGGGAGATGCACCCATGCAGAGACAAAGGAGCGACGGAAGGAGCGATGGAAGTCCCAGCAAGAGAGGATCCAAGGAAGAGGCAGGTGTCCCGATGCAGAGACAAAAGAGTGATGGAAGTCCCGCCAAGAGAGGATCCAAGGAAGGTCCAGCTTCCAAGAAAGGATCCAAGGAAACAATCAACAAGAGAGGCTCCAAGGAGGACGTGACAAAGAGATCCGGTTCAAAGGAGGAAGGCTCCAAAAACCCATCGAAAGATGAACCAGTGGAGGAAGTTTCAACCTTAGTGGAGGACCAAATTTGGATGTGTATCAAACTGCATGACCTTGTTCCTGAACTGGACCTTCCTATCGAACAGGATCGAGCGCCACTGCAGCGCCACATGTGTCACCTCCCCGTGAAAACCGAGGTTCTGCCCGGGGATCGCTGGTGGGACCCGACGATGAAATCCTCCTGGAAGATTCTCCAGGCGGACGATGGCACGAGCGCCGGGAGAAAGGGGGGGCATCGGGACCGGCCCAGAGGGTGATCCCACGGCGACTTGGGCATTGATATGGTCGACGTTCTTTGGAACATCGTTTGGCACGTGGGGAAAGGGATGCTAGAATACATTCCAAGTGATCTAGAATCTAGACTTGAGTGAGATGAGACAACACCTTGAGGCAACCTCAAGCTGCAGTTTTTCAGGTTTCCCATGCGGGGTGCATTCCTTCCTTCCTCCCTTCCCTTCCCTTCCCTTCCCTTCCCTTACCTTCCCTTCCCTTCCCTTCCCTTCCCTTCCCTTCTTTCCACAGGTTGAACCCAATAGGTCTTGGCGCCTGGGCCGCGCCTGCTAAACTGGGGCCCTCCATTCTAAGACCTCCACGGCACTAGCTGACTCTGGCTTGCCAAAACAGTTATTCCATTTTTCACCCGACCATCAGGTCTTGGTCTATTTTTCCAGATAAGATCCTCCAGCTTTGTTAGCTAACCAGGAGCTTCCAGGATTCGAGAATCGCCGGAGGAAGGTCAAAGTTCTGGATGAAGTCTTTGGACAGGTTCTGGAGGAAAAGGACGTTCAGGAATTGCAACTACAAGCTTTCACCATGGGTTCTTCCGTTTGTCATATATGTAGATCTACATGTAACTACATGTATATAGACATAGATGTACCATGATTCATGATGTACCCTGTTTCAGTTTGCACTTGCAGTGGTCAGACGGAACAGCTGTTCCGGCTCTGCTCAGGCTGCCTGTGGGGCCCAGCGGACGGGGAATGTCGACGCAGAGGCGTGGGTTGTCGAGTGTGACATAGCACTGGAACGCTTAATCCATTGTCCCAATTGTACTTGTAGATTCTATAGATCCATTAAACCGGCAAACTGGCATCTCCACTGAAGTTGTGCTAGGGGTGGTTAGGGCATTTTTGACCTTAAGCAAGACTTTTCTGGAGACTGCAAATCAATCTCCTGCCATCCTATTTATTCAGGGCTGGTTTCGTATTTTCGGAGTAGGCTCTCCAGGTTTGTCATTTCGTAGCCACCATGCATGGATAACATGACAGATCTCAGCGGCTTGCGTGCTTGCCAGCGCTGTCGTCTCTGGATACCGATCCAGAGATCCAGAAGATCTCGGCTTTTTACATCACCATTGGTTGGTTAATCAATAGAAGGGATACCCCCTGTCCTCGCCTCCTCTCTTCATCCCGGGAACGAGACACATGACGATCCACCCGCTCGCCCGGCACAACACTATCGATCTCGACGGCGTGTGAACGAGGTTCTTCAGAGGCTGCTTCCCAAGCCGGAAGAGTTTATCAGCATCAAGAAGAAGGCCTGCCTCAGTCCGGTTTGGGCGGTTTGATGGTTCCGATCAGACCGATGGGACCGGTTTTGGTTTCTGGCTTTCGAAGAGTTCTGAAGATGTGGACCTTAGGAAGGAGCATGTGTTTGCACCCATTTTGTGAGGGTTTCACGGATGGTACAGACCTGGACAAAAAAGAACTAAATTTGCGACACCAGATCTTTGTGAATATATGATAAACACGGAGGACAGTAGAGATGTCCCTCATCTACTTGGTCATTGATGGGCCGTCGTCTCATCATTTCTTGCGGTTTCCACCATCCAATGCTTTGAAGTGGTGAGGGGATACCATCGAATGGGGTTTTATGTATCCCGGGATCCTTTGGTTTGGGGGGTCCAGCGCACGCTTCAATATGTCTCAATCAGCAAACACGATGGCATCGCTTCTATGTTCATTCCCAAGGTTACCTTTGGAAGGCCCAGTGGGTGAGTAGCCCTAGAAAGCAGAATGCAGGGATTTCTTTTTTCCAACACGAATCCCACGGTAGCCTTCTTCTTCAAAGGTCTCAATTCTGGTGGTATCAAGAAAACGAGAGTCCGAGTGACACATCTGAGTCGCCCATTTGGTTCATCAAACATGTACCAGATCAATTCCAGAAACAGTCCCTCACTTCAACCACAGCGGCTGCACCCCAGCGGCATAAGGGCTTGCTGACCGCTATTTTCGAGAAGCGCCATAGTACTGCATGCACGTGTTTTGTGCTCGAGTACTCACTTGCTTCACCGGTCCAGTCATCGTCCGGTCGTAAACCGTTTCCGAGGTTGACGCTGAGCTCCGGCGCATTGCTGAGAATGGCCCGGAGGTGGAACCCGGGTGGGGTGGGTGAGGAGGGTGGTAGGGGTTCCTGGGGACCTCCGGTTCAAACTGCCGATGAGGAAGATGGCTTTGGGTCGATGGCAATGCGAGTTTGCGCGGGGGACGAGCTCTGAAAGGCGACTGAGTTCGTTGGTTTTTAGTTGCTGCTTTTTTTTGGGGGGCAAGTTGTAGGAGGTTGACTGGTCACCTTGCAACTAGTCTTTTAGTACATGGATGTACATGGCATGTTGCATCATTGTTCTCAACACCATGCTTCATTTGTTCACAGGTCTTCAGCACCGAACAGGGGACTCCTGCCGTCTCGTTCTTTTCTCTTTTGGGGTGTACTCCACCCTTCGGCCGCGATAACGTCGAGTCGGACTCCACCGAGTACCTGGACCGAACTGGACGGAACAGACTGCCCGACACGACACTCGGTCCGAACAGGAAGCGAGACTGGAGACGGTCATGGAAGAGCAAGAGAAGAAGCCGAAGCCGAGCATGGAGGAGCGTTCTGAGCACGGAGCCGAAACAGCTGTGAGTGAAGACGAAGAGAGAGGGATTGGTTCCTCCGACGTTTGAAGCTGAAAAGAATCTGTCGACCTACATTTTGCTGTGGTTTGGAGACTGCTTTACTGCAAGCATTTTTGGAATATCTCTGTTGAGGGGAGCTCTATTTCATGCACATCACACGAGATTTGTACATCGTCCGACTACGTCAGACGCGCAAACACCTTGCTTGGCGAGTGGCCGCAGGAGTTGTCGCTGCAATATCACATGTCACGTGCAAGATTGAAGTTCTTCCACGACCTTTTCGAAAGCTTCCTCCCAGCCAAAGAGGACAAGTGCCGGGCTTTGGACTGACTTCTTTTCCTTCCAAAACCGACCGCCAAAGCCAAGCAGATCCATGGCGGTCCAGTCCAGATTTGGCCTATCCAAGTTGCTTCCCAGCTCTTTGGTTTTCCCTCCCAGCTCAACGGGACGAAAACCCCCGGCAACACGGACCAACTCGGGCTTCGTCCGGACTCCCGGTCCGGGCGAGTTCGACCACCGACTCGACTCTTCTTCGTCCGCAGGACGGGACTCCGGGAGTCTGTCACTATCCGGAGGCGCCGTCGGCACCGGGCTGAGCTTTCCCGGCTCCGGATCGGCGAGACGAAGCGGATCGGCAAGACGTGTGTGCGCCCCAAAAGCTGGTCTCGCACGCGGGGCAAAAACGGCTCCGAGAGGAGGTTCGGTTGGTTTTGTTGGACGAGTATCTTTTCTGAGTGCGTCGAAGCAATTTCATCCAATTGATTAGGAATCAATTGCTTTTCTTTGCAGAGAATGCTCCTGGGGCATCGTGCGAATCACCAAAGTACTTTTACTATTCTTTATCAGGAGTGGGGCGGAGACTCCAGGCAGGAAGCTCCCGTACAGATGACTTTGGAAGAGACATGTAATGTAATCGTTGAGAACTCATCTTTTTCTGGCATATAGTTTGGTAGTGATTTGTACAGCGAGGATGAAGGCTTGTGGGTTTCTCTGAAGGCCATCCTGTCAAGATATATCAGAGGCAGAGGATATAGCTAGGGCCGCCCGCCGGGCCAGGGAATGCGTAGAACATCAAAGCATATCAAAAACACTCTAGCCGTAGCTCACAGGCATTGCTGAGTTTGCTTGAAGGTGTTCTCCTTAACAAATCAATACACTGGCGGCCAGCCCAGTCAGTAGGCAGTTCCTCCAACAGACCAGAGCACATGTGCCAGGGCTGACCCAGTGGTGTTTTGTGCTTTATATTGCTCAACCCTCGCTGCATGAGTGGCTGTCATTGACCATGGCAAGCGATACTCGGAGTGATCTGGGGCTTCGGTGCATTCACTGCGGACGTCGGGTGGACGAGCTGTTTTATCGGATTGGGCAAGATATTTGTTTGAGCCAATGTCAATGTGGTGAAGTGGCTGATCACTACATTGAGTTTGAAATTCTACTGGTCTTTATAGACATGCAGCTTTTGCAGCCAAAGGTCTACAGACATGTTATTTTCAATCGCTTTTCAGCGAGGACTTTGAGGATGGAGTCCTTGCGTTTCCTTCTTTTTTGCCTCTTTCTGGATGCGTATACTCGATGGGCCTCTTTGCCCTCCTCGCCCGCAAGCACTCGGTCCAGCAGGCTCTTCCAACATGCTGACTGGGCGGTCTTGGTGGTCACTCTCGTGGAAACCGCCTCGTATTTTCTGTGTGTGAGCTACACTGCATTGCTGCTGGGCCCCTTCCGAAGCAACAAAAGTTGGAGAAGCTGGGAAGGCCATCGGCGCATTTGGGAGGCACTCATCATTTCCTCCTTTGGCAAGGTTTTTAAGTTGGTTCCGCTGATTTGGGGAGGATTCTCCGGTGAGACGGATCAGACCATGATGGCCACCGCTGTGATGCTCTTCATTGCAGCCTGCAATGTCACCGCTGTTCAAACGGTGTTGGAAGATTCCGACTGCCGATGGGCAGCGGTGGCCGTGGCATTTGGCTGCACGCTCCAGGTGGGTATAGAACTCTACTGCATGGCACGCTGATTTTGACCCTGGCAACACTTGCGATCAAGATACTGGTGGAAAGTCATGATTTGTGATCGACTGCAAGAGCACTGGGCTGCTGTTCTTTGGATGCTTAAACAATATCCTGGCCTTTCTATTGCACCTGGAGAACCAATTTGAGGATTCCCTATCTAAGTGGTTTAGTCATGGCGAAAGACGGAGGAGATCGGTTTCAAACACTCCCTGAAGAGCGGCTTAGCCTTGAGTTGTCAGGAAGCTGGCCAGACAGTGCTCCGAGCTGCTTGTGCAGCCTCCCTTGTCTCTGTCTCAGCAATCTCCATCGTCTTTGGGGGGATTTCGAAGCGTTTGCTGCGGGTGGCCCGCCCCAAAGTCCAGTTCTTCATGCAGATGACGGTCCACAGAAACAGGGCCTGCGTCTCACAGAAACTCGACAAGGCATGCACGCAAAATGAGGCGGAAGGAGTTGTCCTTGGGATTCTTGGATGCCTTTGAGCACCAAAGATGCAAGGGGTCAATGGATGACCCTCCAAAGATGAACCTTGGAGGGTCTTTGGAGGGTCCTTTGAGCACTGTCAAAATGACCCTCCAAAGATGCAAGGCGTTGAGACTCCAGCAATTGAGACCCCGTCCATGACCCCTGGAACGAGGGGAAGCATCAACTAAGAACTCATGATGCTTGGGGATTTTCCCTATTCTAATACACAGCCCATGTGACGCCTTGGTTCCGTGACCGTCCTCTCCAGTTGGCTCTGAGGTCATTGACAAGAAGACAATGTTCTTACTTCTCAAGCAGGTCCAGAGCAACATCAATGAGGTGCCCAGACGCGCTGTACTGAAACCCAGCCCAAACCAATGGGTTTTTTTCAATGGTTTCAATCCAATGCCCAACAACAGAACTGGCTTGTGGGCATGCGTATGTGGCGTATGTTCACCTGGAAAGCTCGTATGTTCACTCTTGGTTGTTCTTCTCTGTCTCGGGTCTTCATGTTCATCACATTCCCATTTGGGTGTGTAGCTCAAATAGGGAGACCTGCCTAGAAGTTCGGACAATAGACCAAAACTAGCCCTGTGGGAGAGGGTGTCTCCCGGATTTGTCACACATCACACCGATCTTGAAGATCTTGAAGGTGTTGAAGTGTTGTATTATGTTGTTTTTCTTCATGTCTCCCTATTAAAAAACCATTTGGCGTCTCGGGCGTCTCCCGGACTTTTCACATCACCTGCGTCCAAATCAACGTCGGAGGTTTTTGTGACCTCCTCCCGACCCTTTTCGCGCGCCCGAAGGCGGAGTTCGAAGCCCGCTTTCGCCGCCTGGATCAGGACAGCAGCGGCGTCGCAGGGGAGCACAGCGACGCGTGTGGTCACAGCGGCACGGTCGTGTGGTCACAGCGGCGAGCCCCAAGCTCTTCCCGAAAGATGGCCCACATGCCATGTAACGACTCTCTTTTTCTTCTTTCAGGTACCACAGGACTGCGGTACCCCCAAAAAAGCAACAAACACATATACCTAGAACATCCTAGAACCCATTTGACCTTTGTTTTGATCAATCAGGTTCTAGGTCCAGGTATATATATATAAATATATTATCCACTCACTTCGGGACTAAACACCACCCCTTTGTGACCTCTGGTATATAATATCTACCCGAACCGGTGCTCTTCCCGTCCGACCTTCGCCGACCTTCGCCGGTCCTCTCGGTCCTCCGAGATCGAGTTTGATGAGTTCGTGCGATGGTTCGGAGACCTCAGAATCGACCGGGCCCAACATCGCCGGTCTCTGCCCTTTTTTTTCTTCGGGGAACATGTGGAAGAAAGAGAACATGTGGAACATCGAACAATTGCTGAATTGGAAGGGTGGAACGAGGTCGAACGTCAAAGGCGGCAACAGGTGAGATAAAAGGCGAAAACGAAGAAAGCGTCAGTCGACCTCTGTTGGCCATCTTGCCTTCTCCAAGGGTTCATGACGATGAGGCCAGGCGTCCATTGGTGCGACCCGCGCGGCTTTTGTGCGTTGGCACCCTGCCATGTTTTTCGGACTGTCTCTGTCAGGTGGAGGTCATCGGCAGCGCTGAGAAGGTCAAAAGGACCTTCGAGGACGGCGTTTGAGGATCAGCAGGTTTTGGTTGAGGGGCTTAAGAGAAACATTTTTGGGATCTCTTCTCTTTAGGCAACAAAACCCTTCAAGAGACCTGTGGAGATGTGTGAGCTGAAGTAGCCAGCTAGCTGGCGATCTTGTTCTTGCCAAGCTGTGTGCTGTGGTTTTCGCTTTGCGCAGCAGAGGGGATTTGATTCGGACGGGAACAGGCTCATAGAGCAGGACGTCGACGGAGGTGTTTCGTTCGTTTAGCTTGCACTGTGTGAGGAGTTAGCCAATGATATGGACGTGAGCATCAAGCTGATAATGTGACCATGAAAGAAGCTGATGAAACACTTGGACATCATTGATATCAGAAAGGCATAGTATTGGAAGATGTTGGAAGTTCAATAACATGTGTAGAGTAATTAACATGCTTTGTTGTTGTGATTTTTTCGTGAAATCCATCCACGCCGTCAACTCGGGCCCGCGAGTTGGGAGGTTCTGTTGAGAGGTCCTGTTTGAGTGGTGAACGAAGCAGACGCATGGCCGGTGGCTTCATCTCCTCCAGACGGAGGATGCGTGGCGAGTTCTCTCTCCCTTCGGGTCCCCCGATGTCACGAAGACATCGAAACCTGATGAAACCTGAAGAAACGGAGGAGGGGGAGGCGATGTTCCCTGCCAGTGGGGTGGAGAGTTGTTCCGCACGAGGTATGTCTACGACTGCTTCAAGTTCGAGCTCGGAACCTCTCAGGCAGCCGGAGAAAAAGAGAGACCGCGTGGTGACTGGCAGCCACTGGTGTAAACCGTGTGGGACGACGATACCCTTCCTTTTGGGTGGGACGGCCTCTGTGGCTTGGATATGTACCGCCCGAAATGAAGAGGACGGAGTACTCGGGAAGTGAAGCAGCTAAGCTACCCTTGTTCTGGGGGGTCCAGGTCTGGTGGAACCCGCATATCCATTTTAGAAATGAAACAACCTATTAGCACATCAGGCAACGGACCCAGCGGAAAGGCTGCAAAAGAGACCGGCTGCGTGCCCCATGAATTTTCCTCGGCGTGCCTTCAGGCTACTTAGCCGCTATCCCAATTAAAAAGGGGCCCAGGGGAGAATCCGCAGCCTAGACTAGACACGTGTTTCACGTGTTGTTCTTGACATATTTTGAGGATTTCAATTGGGGAACAAAGACCTGGTCCGGTGCTTCCGGGCGTGCAGGTCGATGAGTATCCAAAGACCTGTGCTGTGCTCAATCGAGACCAAGCTTGCAATCTGGCCAGGTTCTCGGCAGAATTTCTTCTTTTTGCAGGCAGTAGTATGGAGAATCAGAATAATCAGACACAATCCGCCAAGACATTCTTTTTCCGTGTTTTTGGACCAAGGCGCAGATCTTGGTTACGAAGCTGGCAAAGAAGAAGTTTGATAAGTATTGGGAGATGGTCGACGTGGACAAGAAGGAACGGCTGGTTTTTGGTTCTGGTGTTTTGGAACGGCGCTGCTTTGGAAGAGACCGTTCTTTTGGTTCATGTCTACATGGTGACCGTCCCGTCCCGCCGTGGGTCGTCTCCCCAGGGGGTGGTCACCTTCGACGACTTTTGCGAACTGCTCGACTTTGAGGATATGGCAGAAGACGTTCTGACGAAGTGCTCTCCTGACGGTTTTCGTCGGCGTCAGACACCTTGATAGGGCCCGGTGGGACGCTACTATCTAGGGGCTCCTGGCCTTACTACTAGGAGCAATGTTCGCTACGAACGGAGCAGGGCATCGCTACTTGGGTGCACCAGCGGAGCCGGGAACCTACACGCGGTTCGGCGCGGGGAAGGTGGGTTCCCCGGCATGGTGTGGGGGGCCCAAGTTTTGGACCGAGGTGAGGTGTACTGTACCAGTGTTTTCAACGTCCATCAATTGGGTCCCCAATGTTTCGAGACTCGGGAGCTGAGACTAGCCGGAGACATGGAACGCAAGGAACCCGCAAATCGAATGCAGGCACTCACGATAAAACTAGAATGAATAATCCATATATACATTATATATACTTTATATATACACATTATATATACATTATACACATATATATATATATACACATCATATATATATAATAGACACACTATATATATATATAAATATAAATATATATATATATATAATATTAAACAGACATATACCCAATTAATATAGAGGCCAGATCTGAACACTCACCTTTGTAGCTGAGCTCAGTCTCCAATGTGCGAGCCCGGCGGCTTTTTGGATGTGGAGGCGGCACTGATTTCCAGCCGGCTGAGTTTCTCCAGGTGTTTCCCATGGCCACCAGGTACAACTCAGACGATTGAGATCCTTTTCGTTGGAGCTGAGCTTGCGCTGAAGCCTCAGAGTCTCTGTGAAGCGGTCGCAGTGGCCGTGTTGGAACGCCTGTGCTGAGGTGTTCGCCCGAAGAAATCTCGTAGGAACTCGAACCGGTGCTGGGTGGAGTTTCGTAGAACTGGACTTTCAAAATCATGCAGAGATTGAACATGGACCGCTGCACAGACCGCTCCAGATGGTTCCATGTCGTTGGAGGGTATTGATCCTATTTTCTATCTGCACAGACCGTTTTGGGATGTTTCCCTCCGTTCCCAGCATCGCGTTTCACAACGGTCCGGCGCTTCCGCTTCTAAAAGAAGTGGGTCTTGAGCAACATCGGCTCGGCCAAAGGCTAAGCCGGCTCGTCGCGTTCGAAAAGGAAAGCGAGAAGTCGCGACGCGCCGGGGGTGCTGGAGCACCCCAAAGCCATGATGGAAGATCCTATCATGATGGGTACAAAGTCTACTCAATGCATGTGGTGTTCTCTTCTCTGTCTGCGTTGGTGACGTGACCGCAGCATCCATGAAGTCACTTGTGAATACTCATGGCATGACTCGTCATGACATCCAGCTTATGATACAATAACGCTCACAACAAAAGTATGTGCAAAGTAGGCCTCACTTTGGAAGAGGTTATTTTGCAGTGCTTGGGCAGGTGCACATCGCCGTGCCATGCATTTCTTGCTCGAAAGAATAGCAGGCTCTTGTTTTTTTCTTTGCAATAACAGACCAATGCATTGCCCCGAAACCAAACACCTTCGATGTGTTTGGGGTTTCGACAAGAACATTTTTGCTTTGCTCATGTTGGAGGCAGAGCCTCTCCATGCCTCTCCTGACATGGCCCATCAACCATCATCAACCCCATGTGAAATCGACTTGTCACACTCTCTTATCATCGACTGATCAGCTATGATGACCTTGCAGCTGGCCTTTGCCCATGCCGGTCAAGGAGAGCTGAGACATTGGATATTGAGTAAAGACACCTTTCTGGAGACATGGCGCGCGCAGCATCTCAGATGTCTGAAAACGTGTGCAGACCGAAGTTCTGTCACCACTGGCACCACATGTCTGGCAATCTTTTTTGTCCATGTCTGGCAATCTTTTTGATCCATGATTCAGTTTTTTTGATTCCCAAGAACGTACGGTCCATGTACATTAGACTCCCTGAAAATCCCTCAAATGATCAGGGAAGTCAGTCACTGGCCCCGAAAGGAAGACGATTTTCCTCTACCAAGAGGGGGTTGTCCACTTCCATGATTGTTGCAGGGAGGGTCAATGCCTGTTGCAACCGGCACCACACCTTGCTCCGTCGCCTCGCCGCGCGGCGCTCCGCCAGTTCCGCGTCCTCCGCCGGCGCTGAGCCAAAGGGATCGGCCGCGTCGGCCACGGCGATCGAAGTCGGGTCGGAAGGCTCAGATGGCAGGAAGCATGGGGTGAAACAGATACGGATGGCGAAGGATGGGAAAGGGTAAACAAGTCATGAGGTTTGTTAAAGTGATGCATAGTCTTCTGACTGAACCGGTTTCTTTTAAATGATGTGGGAGACATGTGACCGTGCTTTTCTGGTCTTTTCCGAGGTTGCTCGGGCGCTGTTGCAAGCCTCACAGGCAGCGGCTGTGATGGTGGATTTCGACCAGCGTTTTGCCTGCCGTTATTGGTCTTTGGACGATTCCTGGCCAAAGTCGCCAAAGTCCGTGGGGGGCGAATCTGAAGACGCTCCAAAAACTGGGTGAAACCTCTCTGGTCTTCCAGTTCCCTCCCTGGCGACGATCCGGGGGCTTCGAAAGCGCCAGCCTGGTGGACCCCCACCCCCCGAAACGAACAACCCAAAAGGAGCCGATCAGGGATGTCCATCGGTCCAGTGCCAGCACTGTCCATGTATGGAAAACTTGGACCACGGGGGTGTGTTTTCGGGTCTACGAAGTAGTTTCTTCCAGTCCGGCGGAACGGCGGAAGAATGCGCAGGTGGAGCTTTGCTTTGCTCCCGGGAGCGAGTGAAGCGCCAACAGGACCGGGATCGAGGAGTCTTTGGGTGAACAGATGTCAGTGGGGTCCCCGTGTGGAACTCAGGTGGGGCCACGGGGTGGAGTTCCATCACTTGAGCACTGCATGTGGGTTTTCCATTGGAATGGATGGAATCCGCAGGCTGATCGGGACAGTTGGAGACTCAGATGTCGCGCTCAGTGTGCCGAAAGCCGAGTTTATAGAGCTGCATCTTCAAGCAGATGTCAAAGCGTTGGAGTTGGACATCCCGATTCAACAAGATCTCCGAAGACAACACTCTCAAGAACAACTCCCTTTCTTGTTGAATGAAAGAAGAGTGGTTCTTGAGAGTGGTTCTTCTTGTGACATACCAAGAAAGATCATCCGTCTCTCAAGAACCACTCCTTTTTCTTGGTATGATGCGTGGGACTCTCGGCCTCTGCAGCACCGTGCATAGGGTGAGTCCCATCCCAAGAGGGTCAAAAGGTCTTGGTTCCTTAAAAAAGAACGTGTTCAAGGAAAGTTCATTGTTTTATTCTTTTTGAAATGCCAGGGTTGCTTTTGTAGCATAAAGATATCAAGTCCCATCCTGGTTCACATCCTGCAAACATCCTATAAATATAATATACATGTTATTATACGTATACAGTGAAACGTATTGGTGCTTTCCTACCCCTTCGGGCCCTTCGGGCCCTTCGGGTTGCTTCACCCATCCGCTCCCCCTGCTCTGAGGTTCCGAGGCCGAGGCCGCCGAACGGCTGGAGCTCATCCGTGCGGCCATCCGCCGCGGCGAGGTGGCGGGGGACAAGAAGCGCCATCCTACCTGGTCCCAACCGATACACCCCTTGTCATAGATATATATATATATACATATCATCTCCCTCTCCATATATATATATATATACATATTATATATATATATAGATATACACATCATTGACATCATATATATATATATATACTTTGATCTATATAGTTATAGTGGTCACATGTCTTGAAGAGCTTCCAAAGATCCCTAACATGCCAGGAAAAAGCAGCAAAGGGTGAGGAGAACGGCCGGAAACTGCTTGGTTTTTCGGGTTCTCCTCCATTTGGAAGTTTTTGCTGAAAGGCAAACACGATCTTTTTGGGTTGGTGTTGGATCGCATGTTTGGATAGCTGCTTTTCCATGATTATGAACCTGGTGGCGAAATTTCGGAAGTTCGCCAAATTGTTGCTTTGGCAGACCTTCATATCATGTACAAGGAAAGCATGCCTGGTGGGGAACTGCCAACTGTGCCACATGTGCTTTTCTCATGATCGACATGGGTATCTCTGGGTCTTGAAGCAACCCCATCTATTTGGCAGGCGGGTCATCTACCTTCCAGCTAGCCACAGCCGGTCACGTCACCCCACATGGGACACGGACCGTCCGTCGCAGGATGGGGCAACAGAGCCGCGGCGGATGACACCTGAGGACAGGAAGGTTTGAGTCCGGTCACCTCCCCACCTTTGGGGCTACTCTTGGCTCATGGGAAGACGAGGTGGGAAGAGGGCGGAGATGTTCCGGTCGCGTGTCGCGGTTTTTTCGTGGCTCTGAACATCTCCGGTCGGATGAGTGATGTGAGCGTTCTCAAGGTGCCGGCACCCTGGAGTTTTGGACACCCTTGCACAATGTGTACATGTATGGATTTCATGGGACAACCCATATGCCATATGTTTATACCTGGCAGTGTTGCATTGGGTCCATTTTTGTATGTCTATGTTTCTTCCACTACAGGGTGCCTAATTGACATCAAACACGCAGGAATGGCGTGTCAGACCTTGCAAAACGTTGTCCTTTGTCCCTTGTGCCTGTTTTTTCCACGGAGATTTGCCACAGTTCCTTCGAAAGCTTCCAGCTCCGCCGTCTACGTCCCGAGACGGGACCCGGGAGACCGGAACAGCGAAGACGGCCAAACCAAACGCATCCGGGTCACGGTGCGACCCATCAAGCTGCTGCACATGAGACCCACATCAACATTTTTCTCATGTTGGCGAACCGACGAGACTCAACTTCATCAACTGCTATGTTCGGACTTCAACATGTTCGGACGATGAACGCAAGTATTAAGACCAGTTCGTGGTCCCATCCCCGCCCTCCAAAAATGGTCAGATTGGCTGGGCTCTTTCCATGATGCTGGGCTTGCACCATCCCAAGTGTCGATGCAAGATTGCACATCTGGCCGATGAGTCCGAGGGTTCCCAGTCAATCTTTTGGTAGTTTTGCTTGTGATTGTCAAGCCAGACCCAGTTGGCCAGGAGGAGGAAGCCCTCCAGAAGATGTTTATCCAGCCAGAGGAGGTGATGTTGGAACCTGAGAACAAGCACAATGAGCCAGGTGAGATCTGCTAGTGCCGTCCTCCATCAACCCGAACACGGTATATTGTCCCCATGCGAACGGGAATGAATATGTTGGTCCAGCCAGACTCCGCCAAACGAGAAGCTACTAGTAGCAAAGGGCATTACTAGTAGTAGCTCCTCTCTCCTAGTAACACGGGCATTACTACTAGTAGCTAGAAGCTACTAATAGCTATTTGCTACTAGTAGTAATGCCCTTGTTACTACTAGCGATGCACTTGCTAGTAGCTACGCGTTTTCCTTCTCTTGGGAAGTCGGAGCACACTGACCGAGGGCTGCAGGCGAGTCTGAGAGCGAGGCCGTGAAGGCCGAGCCGGAGGAGCCGGAGGAGCCGGTGGAAGGTCACAGCAGCCTTATGGGTCGGGCGTTGGTGGTGCAAAAAGGTGTCGAAGAGGGAGACCTGATTTGGCTCAAAATGGAAAAAGGGCATGCTGAAGACACAAACCGGTCTTTTCCTTCGGATTGGGTATCCCCAAGGCGCTCCTTTGAAAACTGCGTGAATATACAAAATGTGTCAATATATATATATATAGTTGCCTAAAACGTCTTCAGGGGCCTGTGGGCCATGACGCGATCGGGCTTTATTGAATCAGTTTTTGCACGATTTTTTTCTCTTGCACGCCGGCGTCGTGGCATCAAGGCCCAGGTAGGCAGGTATCCTTTACCCGGACAGATGAAATAGAAGCAGGAGAAACGAAATAGATGTTTTTGTTTTGTGCAACTTGAATCTCAACCACTTGCACACATTCATGAAAAGGATGTCAACATGTGTTCAGTTTCTGCGACGGCAATGGATCACGATATGTGCATGGAAGGCGTCGCGTGCGTCTTGGTTCTACGCATAGCTGGAGTTCCGGCTCCTCAGGGGCTGGACCGTTGGTGGACTGCATCGATCAAAGATTTGGACGCAGCGCACCACGTGTTGTGTGGCCGATCAGAATGCCCGTTGATCCGATTCGTTCAGGGCGCCACTCTATTTGAAGAACACGCTGGCCGCAGGACGTCGTTGCCGTGGTCGCTCTTGCCGGCTCACATGGCGACTTTGCGGTCGTTGGTTCAGGGCGTGTCGAGGTTGTCCAACGATGATGGATCTGTAGCAGCCGCTTTGGTGACGCTGCGTCGGCGCATGGATGCGGGAACTCCGTTTCTGCAACTTGGCGTTACGAGCAGTTGTTTAAGGTAGCAGATGCTACGCGATGGATGGGGTGGGGTGGGGGTGGGGTGGGGTGCTATTGACATGTGCTCTTACATGGAGACTTTAATGGCGACAAAAGTCGTATGTGCAAGCCTGAACACCACACTTTGTTTCATTTAATCTGAGGAAACTAGTCTCTCACAGTCCTTCTAGGCCATCTACTTCAGCCCCTGCAACGCCTCCGCAACGACGGCCAACACTGGCCACTTGATGTCTTAAGTTCTCTTTTCCCAAACTTTTTTCATTCTCCCCTGTAGTGTGGACGTTGCACGCTATCCGCATGTGGGGCCGGCGCGCTATGAATCGTGCTGAGGTGATGGACTCCCCTGAATTGGCAGCCTATGGGACAGTAGATTTGATTTCTCCCAAGCGAAAATCTGAAGACGATGGCATTACATCGAACGAAGCACTGATGTCCCGCATTGATATGTCGGAGAGCATCTCCACCAAAGACTGGGCACACTATATTGCTATGCAGGATGAAGACGATCCCTTGGAGCCTTTGGATGCTGATGACTCACTTCCCAGTCACCGCTTCAAAAAAGCTCGATTGATGCAAAGCTTCGCCTTCGGTTTGTATGCTGCTCCATCGGCCTCTGGGGATCCAGAAGTTGCTGATGGTCGTGGAATTGCTATGAAGGACTTTTGCAGTGTTCAAGGGTTGGCATTTGCTTTTGTTCCACGTCTCGTTGGAAGAAGAATAGCCTAAGAACATGCTTGCAACGATGACACGGAAACCACATTCAGGAACCATTGTCTCCTTGCTCTTGGGAAGATCAACATGACTACGACTACGATCAACCTTTGACTCCTTTGAGTCGTGATCTTCTACGCGGACAAATGCAGCGCAAACGAGAATTGGAAGATTCCTCATTGCAGATTTCAGCTTTTTATTCTTTTTTGGTTGCAGACCTTGCCATGCTAACTTTTCCAAAAGAAGAAGGGCCTCATTCTGCGCGCGGGTTTTTTTGAACTTAATCAACTGCAGGAAATGGAGTCCGAAGCGGACCTGTTCCAAGATGATCCTTGTGTGCAGCCAAACCTGCTTGAGCCTCTTGGGTCTGATGCATCTCGTCCAGCAGTCATGCAGCGTGTCATGGAGCAAAGGACCTTGAATCGTACACGGAAAGGAAAATACGGACATTGCCAGAGACATGACAGGCCATATCGGCTCTACGTGGCAAAGACTGGGCAATGGGCTGGAAGGGCAGTGGCCCGCTGTCCAGACTTTTGCAGACTTTTGGGACTTTGATGCTGCGAACCGTCCAGGGTGCTGGAGTTGCTCCTTGTACCAGGGGTCACACGAAGCCTTGCCGAAGGCAATTCGGCAGCAGATCGTCAAGTTTAAGGAAGACCTCAGGTTCAGTCTTTTTCATGGTCCGCAAACGCGACCATAGGATAAAGCATGGATGAAAATGCGATCAGATTGTGTGAAGTGGCAGGCGATGTTTTCCCTTCTGCTCCGGTGATGTAGTATATGTGGTATATATGCGTATATTTTCCCTCATATAAATACTCTCCGACACTCCCTCATACTCCTGAATAATTTATATCTTGCGGTCTCCTTATACTATACGGTTCCCTCTCCCCAGTGAGTTTTTATGAGACAAGAAGGAGCTTTGTTTTTCGGACATCTCTCCGAGATTTTTCACATGAGCGGACAGTTGGAGCAGGAATACTTGTCATGCCCTATACCATGAACACGACCACGTTGCGCACGCATGTTCCTGTTTTGCTTTCAATATATGTTTCTGTAGTCTGCCCATGGCCCGCTCCAAAAACAAGAAGAAGCAGCCGGTGTGCGGCTGCTGCGGCAAAACTGGTCACCGAATAGAGACCTGCACCTTGCCGGGAGCTGCTTTGATTTGCAAGCTCCGTGCAGCTGCCAAGAAAACGGCTGGCAAAAGATCCGGAGACAAGTTCAAAGATGACCGCAGCCATTGTCGCAGTTCTGGGTCTTACAAGAGAAAAGCTTCCAAGAAGTATGTGCCTATGAAGTCCGCAAAGGACTACAAGGATCATGCCAGACTGAAAGCTTCAGCCTTGTCGCAAGACACTATAGATGTGCCCGACTCTATCAAATGGCTCCTGAAAATGGGCTTTCTCAGTCGTTCACGCAAGTGTGCGCACTGTGGATACACCAGCCTGAAGGGTCCCTTGGTTCGCAAGAGAAAGAACATGCAAGACTGGTGTCATTGGCGGTGTAGCCGCAACAGCTGCAACCGCCGTGTAGCCCTGTACTATAGCAGCGTCTGTGCAGGATTGCAAATGCAACCGCCTGCCTTGCGGAGCTTCTTGCTTTGGTATTGTTCCAAGAGCCCCATGAAGCCAGTCTTGGCCTCTGACGCAGTGCTTCGCTTCGGAATTTCCTACAAGCAAGCTGACCACTGTCTCGCTGCACTGCGAAGACAGGAGGCTCTTGCTGGTGAAAGAGAACAAAGCAAACTGAAGTTGACCAGAGAAGTTGAAGTTGACGCTACTTCCCTGGGAAAGTTCTGGACGAAGTCCACCAACGTTCTTTTTGCTGATCAAATTCAGGACCTCTGCAAGAAACATGATGTCACACCCAAAGCTTTCCCAGTACACATTCGACTGGTCGGTGCATTGCAACGTGGCGGCCACATGGTCGTGCGCTTCTTGCAACCCAAGGTTGCTTGTATGATTTAACTCTTTTTGGCCAAGCTGCAGTCAAACGTGTTAAACAACATGTGTTCGCGTCACTAAGGTCACTTTGCCCAAAGCTGTCCCCCCTGTTGAAGCCTACAGAGAGATCGTGCGAAGCAACTTGACCAAGATGATTCAGGCAAAATCTCCCACTGCTTTGTATGCTGACGGGGCGCTCTCGTGGCAGAAAATTGCCAAAGACTTGAAGGTGCCGATAGTGCAAGTCAGCCATCAGAGAAAAGTTTTTGCTAAGCAGGTGTCGGCTCCACGCCGTGGACTTTCCACCACTGCGGGCACATAGTCTTTGGATGCAGCGTGGAAGGTTTTGAAGCAGTTTCTTCCACAACAAACACATAAAAAAACACGGACCCGGGATTGTTCCACGACTAGCGCTGTGTTGAAGTTAAGAGTGTACCAATGGCTGTGGCGCCGAAACCTGAAGGTTACCACAGATCTCACACCTGATGAGATGCTGAAGCAGCTAGCTGCTGCCTGCAAATTGCGCTGAAAGAGAAAGTGTGCGTCGTCGGATGTCGAAGTCATTAGTTTCGGACGACCCCAGTTTCACAGTTTTTTCAATTTTGATCGGAATTCCAAGGCGTTTTTGCGAACCATGCTGCTGCCGTCCACAGGGTCTGAGGGACGTTGTACCCATATAGTTATATACTGAAGGCAAAAAGGGCGGCTAATGCAAAACTGCAGACCGCTTTGTGCTTGGTTCTCCCAAACAGCACAACTGTTCCCAAATCCAGCAGCTTATCATCGTTCAATAAGATCCCGACGAGTGGATAGAACTTTGGATCAGACCAACCCACATGTTCCTCATGCCCCTCGCCCGGATTTTGTAAATCAGGACATATCGAAAAAAGGTGCGAATTCCATCGCATTCCGAACAGGGAAACCGGTGCCTCGACATGACACGTGCACAAATGCCCATTTTCCACTTAAACACCCTTTGATCCAAAAAACGGCACACTTCTACACACCCAACCCATTGACAGCCTGTGAAGCTGCGCAAAGCAGTTGCCAGAGGAGGACCTGCACGAGGTACGTCTTCGAAGCCTAGCTGCATATAATTGATCTGGGTGTGGGTCCAAAGCATCCCAATCCAACCTGACCAAGGTCGACGTCACCAGTCCAGATTGGTGGGGATGTTCGGCCGAGTCAGGGTCCGATTGGCGATTTTTCCCACACAGAGGGCACCGCGACCGCGCCGGGACCGCGCCGCGCACATCCGCGCACTCCAAGGCCGAACTCTCGAGCCGCCAGCTTGGTGAAAGGAAGATTGAGGGGTGAAGGAAGAAAAAGGAACCCAACACTGGCCTTGTCAGGTGGTGCAACCATACACTTGTGACATCTTGTGACTCGATCAGTCTGGATTTATAGATATCAAGCAGATTTGTGGCGAGATAAGGACCTTGTTGTGCGGTTCTGTTTGATTGAAGTCCGATAGAGCTCAGCTGACCAGCAAACCTGAGCTTCACACCTTCAAACAACACGTGGTGCTCGGTTCTCAGTGAAGCAACCAAGGTTCTGCCCTGATGGCAAACTTGCCTGGGAAATTCTCCAAGAAATCGTTGTCCGCTACTCAATGTCTCAGACACTTCCCTGTCTCATGTTCCTGGAGCTCTTTTGGAGGGTGAGAGCTCAGACCAGGGTGAGAGAGCCTGTCGCTTTGAGTTTTGTTAGGTTGGACGATGGGCAGTTGTGATGCTGTCAGCTCTTTTCGCCCAACGTTCTTCTGCATTCGAGGCTTCTGGTGAAAGGCCAGGAGTGGGCGCCTTTGATCTTGTGATGGAGGCACTGCAGCGAGCTCCGATGCGAACATTCAGAACTCCAGTGGATTGTTAGAAGGAGTAGAGATTGTTATTATTTTCTTTTTTTAAAATGTTCTTATTATTATTAGTAGTATATAGTGTTTTATTATTTCTAATTCTATTTAACTATAATATTGTAATTATTGTTATTCTTATATCTGATATGGCAGGTATATTAACGGTTTTTGTCGCACCTTTTTCGGTGCGATCTCGGTTTTCGGTGTTTGAGGCCTTTTCGCGGCGAGGCGCCTTGGATGACGCTCTGGCCGTGTTTAAGGCACCCAGAGACTGGCCTCGCTGTCGCTGAGATCGTGTGAGGACCAATTGACGTGGAGTTGGTGGTGAGGAAGGAATTGGCTGGACGAGCAGAGACGTATAGAAACATGAAGAAGCGACCCTTTGATAAAGCCGCACCCCGAAAAAGACATATTACTGAACTGTATCATGTTGGATCCAATTCCCTCAATCCGTTGAATCCCTTCGGTCGCACTGGTGCGCGCCGCGAGATTCTCCTTCTTTTGGCCAACGACCGCGTGAACGCGCCGTGCCCAGGCGGTCGCAGATGCAGGGCTCACACACAGTGATGCAAGTTTGGAACTTGGAATTTTCGGTGCAACAACGGCTGCCTGAGTCAGGACGAAGAAAAGACAAATTCCATGAGACATAAGTCCGGACCCCTCCAGAGACAGTTTCAAGGAATCTATTGCACATGAAAAGCCAGTAGTCCAGAGTAAGAAGAATCCTTTTGGGAGCGCAGGCAGGGAGCCAAGCTAGCTTAGGTTTTAGACAGCCACACGGCGACCTACCCCCGAAAGAACTTGACTGGTCAAGATATTCACCCATCCATTGCTTAAACTCAAACCAGTCTAAACTAGGGTTCCTCGATGCGTGGGAGACACACCAGGTCACCAACGAAAGTCCACCAATGACCGGCCATGGGATCGCTGGCAAATCGACCTCGAAATTGAAGGCCTTTTGGAGGGGACGAAGGAGGCCAAAGTTGGCGAACGACCTTGCAGACATGAATATATATATATATATACATACACCCTAGACGCCCAAGACCACTTTTAAATTGATCTGGTTTTGTAGTGTAGACTCCTCAGTATAACAATGGTTGTTTGGTAAAGGCTATTTAAACATATGGTGCTTCGACTTCTAGGGTCTATATGAACATGTTGTTTCTTTGCTTGGGAAAAAGCACTTTGGAGCTCACCAAAAGCGATGGTTTTGAGGCTTTGATTTCTTGGCCAAGCCCGCCTCGAAGAGTGGGCATCACTCAGTGAGTGAAGCAGGACGAACGGGGGGAACGGGACGACGACCTGGGGGATTGAGGGGTAAGAAACACCCAGAAGCCCATTTGAACAAGCATGAAAAGCCCTTAAGTGTGACTACAGCTTTTGGTGGCGAACATGGACCACTCTAGATTATGAACTTGTCAAACTCTTTGGAAAAGTTCGAGGATGTTTTGCGAACATTTGACGGCCTTGCATTGGTTTGAATCCCTAAAGCAACAAACACCAAACCAGTTATGTGCATGTTTGCATTTAGGGTACCCGCGTGCCCAAGCTGTGGGAGTTTTATGTTAGAAACAATTTTGGTCATGCTCGGCTTGAAAAGATGGTGATTTGAGTAGATGACACCCGATGGCAGAGAATCAATCATTGGGAGCAGAACCCCCATGCCCATGCTCCGCTAAGCACCCCAGCCACCACGCTCTTCATTCACTTCGCTCGTCTCGCTCGTCACTCTGCGGGTCAACCCAGGTGGGGAGTATCGCTTCGTTGAGAGGCTCTACGCTGCCAAGGCCCAATTGATGTGTCCCAAAAATCAGTTTTGCTGCACTTGCCTTAGAGGCATGAACATCCAGAAACATGTTTTAGCTGACACTTCTATTTTTTTTTCGGATGCGAACCTCAAGCGATTCAGAAAAGTACCGAACATCGGTTGCGGGCATTGCCCGCATCCAGAAACACTGTTTCATCAGCTGTTCAGCTGCCCACTGGGTGTGTGTTTGGCCCCGTTTGTCCAGGCACAGAGCACGCAGCATGGACAGATCGGTCCTGACTCCCTGTCGTTGCTGCTGGATGCCAGGGGCCCTGAGGAAGTGAAGCGATGAACCTCGTTCAAGTCGGGTCCAAGGTTCTCGGAACACCTGTTTTCTCAAACATGGCGCGCGCCCTGCCCAAAGCTTCGGGGTTTGGACCCTCAGTTCGGGGTGAACGGAATTGTCACAAGCTATGGTCAACTGGACCAGGAGTTGGTTCGGGTCAATCGTACGCGTTTGGGGTGGGACACATCTGGCCCTGGGCACCTGGATGCTCCAGACGTCCCGGTCCCGGACAGGGGGGAACTCCCAGGGCCGCGCCTTCCAGGGCGGGCCACTCCGACGAACGCCCTGTCGGGAAGAGGAGGTTCCACAAAGGATTCCGGGTGTTTCGACCCGATGTGGACGACCGACTCGAAGAAAACCGCCGACGGAGGCGCAAGACAGAACGGAGGAAAGCGCCAGTCGCTTCCCACGGATGGGTGACACAGTGAAGCGAAGGATACCTACATTGTGACAGGGTCTCCCAACAACTGGGCAGAGTGGTATTTACTTCTGTCGGTTTGTGTTGGGATACTATTCTCTTACTCTTTTGAGCGTGTTCTCCTTCAGCATCCATAATCTATAACCGATGTTTTCTGTCCAATTCTTACCCCACCCAATCTCCTGCATCGGACTCCATTGGCTCTGAATGCGGCCCCACGCCCTTGAGGCCTATGCCAATGGTTTGCCTAGGCAAGCTCAGAAGGCTGGGACCCCAGGACTGGGGAGTTTGGAGGACCAGACCCACACGGCACCTCACGGCTGTGGGTCGAAGTGGGCTTTCGTAGCTGGAGGAAAGGCCGGCGAGGCGAGGCGAGGCAAGGGCGACCCAACTCTCAACAAACTACAAGCGATCGAATTGGAGCGACGACTTGTTTCGGGCCGACCTTTTTGGAGGTCTCAAGTCCGCAGCCCAAGGAGCGCCGGACGGCTGGTTTCCGCTTCTGCTGCAACCTTCAAACCTTCCAACCGTGCTTCCAATGGGTGTCTCATGGAGGCCTACAAGTAGTGTAGGGTTGTCCATTGGTGATCCCTTGGGTGCTGCTTAGCAGGCCTAGCATGAGGTTCGTGAGTTGTAATAAGTCACCATGCTTTCGCGCAACAATTTCTCCACTCAACTGTTGGAATGCCACATTTGACTGGCTTTTGGTCTGCCAAACCACTAAACAACGATCTGATTCGTCCCCCTTTCTTGACATGTCCTCTTCCTCACTTCTCAGACGAGCTCCTCCCCTTCTTCCCCTCCAGACGCCCCTGGGCTCGTCGGTTGTCTCGCCCGAGGCGCAGGGCGCCTTCCGGGGCGAAATGGCCGCGGCCGAGGCGGCCCAGACCATGGCCACCGTGCCCAGCGAGGTGGCACCAGGTGTGGTGTGGGGGAAGGCGAGGGAGGGGAGAGGAGAGCAGAGCAGAGCAGAGCAGAGCAGAGCAGAGCAGAGGAGAGGAGAGGAGAGGAGATTTGGAAGAAAACCGAAGATGGTTCGGGTGGACGTGTTTGGAAGCAATCCTATGATTTTGGAGACTTTTTTTGTTCGGCTAACGGCTAATGTCAGCCAAAGCAGCCACCCAGGTGTGGCGGTTTGAGATCCGCTGCGCCAGGCTCCGTGCGCCGTGCCTTGCGCCGGGCCGTCGGCTCGTCGGTCTATCGGGCGCTCATGGAGGAGTTCCTTGGGCCGAAGAGTTGGCGAACGGTTTTTCGAAGCCAATGGCCCGGCCAGGCTACTAGGTTACTAGGGCTATCGAAATGCTAAGAATGTAGGCACAGTCAGACAGGTCATGGGGTGTAGCAGATGATGGTGGATGAGTGTGCGTCAAGGCAGCTGAAGGGTTCTTTTTGTGTTCTGGGGAGCCGGGAAGCCTTTGAGTGAGAACAATGCCTGCGCGCTTTTGGACTGAGGTATGGGCTTGACCCAGATGCAGATCTGGACATGTGATGTCTGGTAGATTAAATATGTCTATTGAGTTCGATTGTTTCACCTTTAGAGGTCTCAAGCCTCAGGCTCTATTCATGATAAAAGACAGATTGAGCTCATCCCTTGGCCGGTCTCTTTTTTGTGCGAAAAGGGCGAAGGCGGTGAAGTCCACGGCGTTGGCTGGAGTTCGTATTGGGCCATGGCTCAAGGCAGCTGTTCCAGCTGGGAAGAGCGGACCGATGGCCTTAGAGGATGTGCTCAACTCTAGTTTGCTTTACATCGCCAATCTATCCAGCCGCTTTCTCAACATCTCAGCCTGACGTATCCAGGGCCAGAGATCACGTGTTAGAGATCAGCGGTTCGCCGGTGTAGCCATGACTTCGGAAGTGTCCTTAATCAGCCCCTTGGTCGATCCTGGTCGTAGTTGTTTGCACGATTCACGTCCGACAAATGGTTGGGCACGGAGGTCTGAGAAGTGAAGACGGAGGTTTGAGAAGTGAAGAGGCAAACCAGGGAGGCATCGAAGCTGCAGCCGAAAAGCGAGCGAAGAAGGACCAACGAAATGAGACGAAGAAACCTAGCAAAGGCAACCTCATGTGGCAAGCGAAGCACACGAACCCCAACAGCATCTCCCAACTCACTGGACCGCCGCGAGAACGTGGACCGCCGGTGTTCTCGCGGAGCCGAGGTCAAGTAGTTGCGATCTCCCTCACCATCGCTTTGTTTGCCTGGGAGCCACAGAGTGCCGGAGAGTGCCAGTCGAGGTAGTCGGATGATTTTGATTTTGAGACTGTGATGGAAAGGTTGCGTAGTTCTTAGCCTGTCTCTGTAGTCCACACTACCGTAGAATACTATAGATGGGGCTTCCAGTGGGCCTGGGCTACCCCAGTCATGGATGGGCTAGGCCTTGTACCTTTTTCTGGCGTTTAAGTATCCCACTCCTGGTCCTCAATTGGGCCTGAGACATGGTGAACAGAGGGAGTCTGGAAGGGGTCAGTTTTCCCACGGTGGACCAGAAGAGGGTGTTGGAACAGTTTTTCCATGGTGCCCCTGAAGAAGGCACGGAGTCTTCCTGGCTCGGTGGGACTTTCCTTGGATAACTTGTTGTTCGTTTTTTCCTGAACCAGGGTTTCTTGGATAAGAGTCTCTTCCCAAACCTTGGATAAGAGTCTCTTCCCT